GCACAACGATCTGGAGTCATTTTGGACCACTCCTCTTCACAAAACTGTTTCAGTGTAGCAATATTTTTGGGATGTCTGGTGTGAATCGCTCTCTTAAGGTCATGTCACAGCATTTCAATCGGGTTGAGGTTAGGACTCTGACTGGGCCACTCCAGAAGGCGTATTCTGTGCTGTTGCAGCCATTGTTTTGTTGAATTACTTGTATGCTTTGGGTCATTGTCCTGTTGCCTCACCCATTCTCTGCGGAGCTTCAGTTGGCGGACAGATGGTCGTACGTTTTCCTGCAAAATGTCTTGATAAACTCTGGAATTCATTTTCCCATCAATGACAACAATCCGTCCAGGTCCTGAGGCAGCAAAGCAGCCCCAGACCATGATGCTCCCTCCGCCATGTTTTACAGTGGGGATGAGGTTTTGATGTTGGTGTGCTGTGCCTTTTTTTCTCCACACATAGTGTTGTGTGTTCTTCCCAAACAACTCAATCTTGGTTTCATCTGTCCACAGTATATTTTGCCAGTAGTGCTGTTGAACATCCAGGTGCTCTTTTGCAAACTTCCAACGTGCTGCAATCTTCTTTTTGGACAGCAATGGCTTCCTCCGTGGTGTCCTCCCATGTACTCCATTCTTGTTTAATGTTTTCTTTATTGTAGACGTGTCAACAAAAATGTTAGCATGTGCCAGAGATTTCTGTAGGTCTTTAGCTGACACTCTGGGATTCTTCTTTACCTCATGCAGCATTCTGCGCTGTGCTCTTGCAGTCATTTTTACAGGACGACCACGCCTAGGGAGAGTAGCAACAGTGCTAAACTTTCTCCATTTGTAGACAGTCTGTCTTACCGTGGACATATGAACATTAAGGCTTTTGGAGATACTTTTGTAACCCTTTCCAGCTTCATGCAAGTCAACAATTCTTGATCGTAGGTCTTCTGAGAGCTCTTTTCTGTGAGGCATGGTTCACATCAGACAGTGCTTCTTGAAACCAGTAATCCCAAAACAGGTGTGTGTTTTTTAAGGGCAGGACAGCTGTCAGCAACACATCCGATATCATCACCCTGATTGGAGTCAAGGTTGGCTCACTCCTGGCTCCAATGTGCTCTGGGAGAAGTCATTAAGCTAGGGCCTCACATACTTTTTCCTCCCTGCACTGTGAATGTTTACATGTTATGTGCAATTAAACCATGGCAACATCTAATGTTTATGTAGTATTATGTTCAGCAGACTGTGTTCTTCTATTGCTGTGACTTAGATGACGTTCAGAGCACATTTTATGCCCAATTCATGCAAAACTCCACGTAATCCCAAGGGGTTCACATACTTTTTCTTGCAACTGTATGTATTTACATATATATATATATATATATATATATATACTCTTTGTTGTACTTTTGGTAGCGCTCACTAAAATTTCTTCTATTACATATGAACATAAACACACCCGTCGGGGTGCCTATATACAAAAACACTGGAGTGAGAGCAATAATTATAGGACCAATATTTATGTTTAACTCAAAAGTGATGACTTGTAGGGACTTAAAGTGTCAACTATTGAAAATATAGGGTACTGAAGTTCGTTGTCATTTTGTAGGCACGCACAATTCTAAAGCTTCATCTTTTCTTTTTTTAACCAAAAATTGGTATAACAGTATATTATATTTGTGTGCCCTAAAATGAACTTTAGTGTATTTTGTACACAAAAAAATTTGCGCGTTATAAACTGTTTCACAAATATTATGTGACAAGCAAAAATTGAAACTACGACCATTTTATTCTGCAGGATGCTTGCTTTCAAAAAACATATAATGTTTTGGGCCTTTTACTAATCTTCAGGCCTAAAAGTATTTCTTTAAACCTGTATGCAATAAAAAGCAAAAACAGACCTGGCAGCAAAAGGTTAAAGTTTAACTTCAGGCAAAATATTTTATTTAGTTCTGTATTGAGCAGAAAAGGCTTAGAGCTTATGTTTACCCTTACTGGAATTGATGGGAAATCCCTCCAATGGGGACAGATACAAAAATAAAATTACATTTTTACAGCATGGAAAAGGATTAGTTCTGATAATATTTTTTTGTCAATTGTTTCCTCCTGTCCTGATGACAACTGCATTCCCCATTTCTTGTACGGGTATCACTTGGGACAGGATGTGAGAAAAAATCAGCTGAATGTTATTTTCTTTTCATAGAATGCTTGTCCTGACTTGTGCATCGAAGCTTTCTGCTCTGAGACGACTTTTAGCCCACAGCTTTCCAGAATCACTGAAGGTGGGTCAGAGGTGTCCTCCTAAAGTATAACTCCACCTGAGTATGATAGTTGTGTGACTTTATACTCATTATGTTTATCACTTAGGCATGTGGAGCTCTGCATCATGTGATCATTGGCAACCCATTCAAACTACAGGTCTTGGTTGACCAGTGGCCAGACTTCTCCACCGTCATATGTCGTCCTTCATTGGAGGTGGGTTTAACCACTGGTACCAGTATGGGAGATTGACAGAGGAATTCTGTCACTGTAAAACCATGATGTTGGTTTTTGATTACCTTTGGTTTTTGTCAAATCAAAAAACATATTTCAAGTCAATCTACATTATACTGTATACTCTATTTTTAAAATCCGATTGAATATCCGAATGCCTCTTGGGGGATCAGGAAGGATTTTTTTCCCCTGCAGGAGCATATTTTTGATCATGCTTTTCTAGGGGTTTTTTTTGCCTTCTTCTGGATCAACTGTGGGTATAGGATTATAACTTTTTTTTTTGGTTAAACTGGATGGACTTTTGTCTTTTTTCAGACTAACTATGTTTAAGTCTTGCCTAGGAGATGCCTTCTCTTAATCTTATTATTCAGAAAGGTTTTGCCCATGCCCCACTCTGATTTAGTGTCACTGGTGGTTGACTTTCCCTTTATGGCTAAGCTTCACCAACTGACATTCTTGTCCAATGGAATTTCCTTAATTGACTACTAGGGCAGTCTCATTAGACAACAGAAAGACAGTTGGAAAGATTTATCCATGATGTCAGGGAAAGTTGGGCACCTGTAAGGGTTCGTTCATAACGTGAAATTTGGGGTAGTAAAACCCATGTTTTTACGCTACCTCCTTTAGCTGCTGTCAGGACCCCAGGGTATGACCAGAGGTATGTGAACTGACGCAGGGAAACGCAGGCTTCAGATATGTTATAAACAATATAATTTATTAACACTAACAATACATAAACGCAGTGCAATACTAAAACATAACACAGTGCAAACGAACCAAACCAAACCACCCACAGATAACAGTACATACAATGCAAGCGTCGTCAGCAGGCTGGGTCAATAAACAATCGGGCAGGTAGGAACAGGAGGAGCAGGCAGAGAGTAGTCAGGTCACGAGCCGGGTACAGCAACTAACGGGCAGGTAGGTACAGGGGGTCAGGCAGAGAATGGTCGGGTCACAAGCCAGGGATCAAACAGGAGAAGTCAGCAGAGGTCCGGATCAGGCAGGGTCAGCAACGAATCAGTCAGACAGGAACAGGAACAGGGATGCAGGTAACAAGATACAGGGGCCCATAGAAAAGCACACACCAAGGCACAGACTGCAGGTCTGGCCATCCCTTAAATACACCTGCATAATCAGCTTCAGGTGTTTGGCTGACTACAGGGTTGAGTCTCTGATTGCTGAGAGCACCCGCTGGCCAGCCCTGGTACTGCAGCCCACAAGGCAGGTGAGTCCCACCATTACTGGCAAGTCCATTCCTGACAGTACCCCCCCCTCAAGGAGCGGCCTCAGGACGCTCCAAACAGTCCTAGCTGGGCAAAATGTTCCACTGCCCGGGTCTGGTAACTGGCGGGATATCAAAGACTGGCACATCGGGCTGGACTCCGGGCAGAGGCACATCGGGCTGGACTCCGGGCAGAGGCACATCGGGCTGGACTCCGGGCAGAGGCACAGGGCCCCCAGGCGGAGCGGCAGGCGCTGGGCCCCCAGGAGGAGCGGCAGGCGCCGGGCCCCCAGGCGGGGCGGTCAGGTGCCGGGCCCCCCAGGCGGAGCGGCGGGCGCCAGGCCTCGAGGCGGAGCGGCTGGCACTGGGCCCCCAGGCGGAGCGACAGGTCTCGGGCCCCCCAGGCGGAGGAGCGCCGGGGCGGGCGCCGGGCCCCCAGGCGGCACAGCGGCGGGGGCCGGGCCCCCAGGCGGAGCGGCGGGCGCCGGGCCCCCAGGCGGAGCGGCTGGGGCACTGGGCGCCGGCCCAGGCGGAGCGGCACAGGGCCCCTCGGGCCCCCAGGCGGAGCGGCGGGCGCCGGGCCCCCAGGCGGAGCGGCGGGCGCTGGCACTGGGCCCCCAGGCGGAGCGACAGGTCTCGGGCCCCCAGGCGGAGCGGCGGGCGCCGGGCCCCCAGGCGGAGCAACGGGCACCGGCCCCCAGGCGGAGCAACAGGTCTCGGGCCCCCAGGGCGGAGCGGCGGGCGCCGGGCCCCCCCCCGGGACCGGGGCGGTGGAGGGCGCCGGGCCCCCAGGCGGAGCGCCGGGCGCCGGGCCCCCAGCGGAGCGACGGGCACCGGGCCCCCAGGCCAGGAGCGAGCACGGGCCCCCAGGCGGAGCGACGGGCACCGGGCCCCCAGGCGGAGCGACGGGCACCGGGCCCCCAGGCGGGGCGGCAGGCACCGGGTCATCAGCACGACAGCGGGCATCGGTCACCAGGCATCAGGTCATTTGGCTCGCCAGTGGGCACCCGCGTCATCTGGCAAGGCAGTGGGCACCGAGTCACCAGGCACGACAGTGGGCTCTGAGTCAATTGGCACGACAGCGGGCACCGGGTCATCAGGTACCGGATCGTCTGGCTCTCGACAGCAGCACCGGGTCATCTGGCGCTGGATCGTCTGGCTCGACAGCGGGCATCGGGTCACCAGGCATGACCGCGGGCACTGGGTCATCAGGCATTGGATTGTCTGGCTCGACAGCGGGCATCGGGTCACCAGGTATGACAGCGGGCACTGGGTCACCAGGCATCAGGTCATTTTGGCTCGCCAGCGGGCACCGCGTCATCTGGCAAGGCAGTGGGCACCGAGTCACCAGGCACGACAGTGGGCTCCGAGTCACCAGGCATGACCGCGGGCACTGGGTCAGACATTGGATCGTCTGGCTCGACAGCGGGCATCGGGTCACCAGGCATCAGGTCATTTGGCTCGACAGCGGGCACCGCGTCATCTGGCAAGGCAGTGGGCACCGAGTCACCAGGCACGACAGTGGCTCTGAGTCAATTGGCACGACAGCGGGCACCGGGTCATCAGGTACCGGATCGTCTGGATCGACAGCGGGCACCGGGTCATCTGGCGTTGGATCGTCTGGCTCGACAGCGGGCATCGGGTCACCAGTCATGACAGCAGGCACTGGGTCATCAGGTACCGGATTGTCTGGATCGACAGCGGGCACTGGGTCATCTGGCGCTGGATCGTCTGGCTCGACAGCGGGCATCGGGTCACCAGGCATGACAGCGGGCACCGGGTCATCAGGTACCGGATCGTCTGGCTCGACAACGGGCATCGGGTCACCAGGTATGACAGCGGGCACCGGGTCATCAGGTACCGGATCGTCTGGCTCCACAGCGGGCATCGGGTCACCAGGCATGACAGCGGGCACTGGGTCATCAGGCATTGGATCGTCTGGCTCCACAGCGGGCATCGGGTCACCAGGTATGACAGCAGGCACTGGATCATCAGCGTGATAGGATCATCAGGCTGGATCATTCATCAGGCTGGGTACAGACACCAGGCTGAAGTGCGGGTGCCGAGGCACCAGGCTGAACCACGGAAGGCAGGTTCTCAGACGGCAGGCTCACCGGTTTGGATACTGGCAGGATAGTACTGGTTGCAAAGAATTTTCGCTTTTTTCTGGTTTTAACTACTGGAGCACTGCAAGTAAACGCAGGTCTGCAAACGAATGGAGCAGCTGAGGACAGAGAAGAGCTGGAAGATGGAACAGAGGAGGGAGCAGTTGCTACAGAGGACTTCTTTACAGGGTTAAAGAAAGGATAGGAGTGCAGCGAGTGGGAGCAGAGGACTGGTATGTGGTAGTTAGAGTATACTGGGCAGTCACTGGGGGTGCTGTCGGGGATGCAGGAAGAATGCCTTGAGTGGAGGAATGATGTTGTAAGCTGACTGAGGCAGGGTGCAACAAGTCTGACCATGTCTGCAGTATGGGTTGAACAAAGCTCCGCTTACACAAAGCCTGTCTGGTCAAAGACTGCACTGCGTTTATACAATCTCTTAGTACCTGTGGTGAACATGCAGAATAACGCTCCAGAAAGTAATCCACATCATCCTCTAATAACCATACCAGGGACTCTACCTGGTCGGCACTAAATGGCGGCAAAAATTCATCCCTGCATTCGGGGGTACCAGATGAAACCAACTCAGCACAAGCCTGACTCAATGGCTGCACCTCAGAGAATTCTGTGCCCTGATCTACTAGGCAATGAGCGATCCGAATACATTCTAGTAGTTGATCCCTGGGATACTCCTTCAGAGTCTGATAAGCATATTCTCTGTCATCAAACACTAGCAGAGATAAATACACCACCTCATCAAGATCCATCCTTCCCAGCAACAAGCCAAGATGGCTTCCCTGTGCAGCCACTTCTGGTCAGGATTGGCCTTGGTGTAATGTCAGGACCCCAGGGTATGACCAGAGGTATGTGAACTGACGCAGGGAAACGCAGGCTTCAGATATGTTATAAACAATATAAATTCATTAACACTAACAATACATAAACGCAGTGCAATACTAAAACATAACACAGTGCAAACGAACCAAACCAAACCACCCACAGATAACAATACATACAATGCAAGCGTCGTCAGGCAGGCCGGGTCAATAACAATCGGGCAGGTAGGAACAGGAGGAGCAGGCAGAGAGTAGTCAGGTCACGAGCCGGGTACAGCAACTAACGGGCAGGTAGGTAGGTACAGGGGGTCAGGCAGAGAATGGTCGGGTCACAAGCCAGGGATCAAACAGGAGAAGTCAGCAGAGGTCCGGATCAGGCAGGGTCAGCAACGAATCAGTCAGACAGGAACAGGGACAGGGACAGGGACAGGGACGCAGGTAACAAGATACAGGGGCCCATAGAAAAGCACACACCAAGGCACAGACTGCAGGTCTGGCCATCCCTTAAATACACCTGCATAATCAGCTTCAGGTGTTTGGCTGACTACAGGGTTGAGTCTCTGATTGCTGAGAGCACCCGCTGGCCAGCCTGGTACTGCAGCCCACAAGGCAGGTGAGTCCCACCATTACTGGCAAGTCCATTCCTGACAGCTGCAGATGCAGCAGCTGGGTGTGGACACTTAAAAAATCATACCCCTCATTGTCTTTCACTGAATGGGGGCACTCTGCAAGCACCTTGAAACCATATGCAATACTTGTGTGACGATCAAGGGGTTAAAGCAGGTAGTGAGGAGGCGATACAATGTCCCTGAATGGATAGGGTTCTACACGCTGGGGCTCAGCACTGCACCTGGTTCTCCTGGGGGCACTAAAAGTTGGGAGAGAAGCACTGCAGCCTTTGGCACCATGTGCGTGGGGCTTAATACTGAGTTTTATTCATTATTAAGGAACATTTTAAAATATATTGATTATTATAAGCAAATAATATGACAACAACGTACTAGTATATCAATGAAAGGGCAGAAGGTTTTCAAAGCCACTTTTTATCAACACAAAAGTGTAACTCAAGCCCAAATTTTCTTTGCAGACGTGGTAGGTTTTTAACCACTGTTATCCTTGCTTTTCATGACTTCCCATGAACTTATGGGGAGATCACCCTTTACTTGCTGTGTGGCTAAAGGGACATGAAGTAAGAGGAAATCTTCTCAGTGAGAACACAGACATTAGTAAAAGCTTGCTACTACTTTACGCAAAACGAAATTAAATTCACTGGTGTTGCACTTGACATCAGGTACATAAAGTTTCAAATGTTTTGCCACCTATTCCATCCAAATAGGGCTTATAGAAGGAATAGTAATTATTACAGTCTGTCCTTTATTTAATCATATTTGCACTGGATATTCTGTATTTTCCTGTGTAGGAAATGAAGGACCCTTCAGACCATTACACCAATACCTACTTTCTGTACAGTAAAGACCCTCAGAATCTTCGCCAAATGCTGGAAGATCCCAAAGTTATAAGCTGGAAACAAGATCTTCAAATACAAGGTAAGGAAAGGGTTTTAAATTAATTCATGAACCTATTGGTGAAACTGAAAGGTCAGTAAAATCCACCAAGACTGATACTTTAGCTGTAAGCAGAGCCTGATGGGCTGAGTCAGCTCCTGGATTCACAGATAGGGATGAGGTTCAGGTTCACTGCTGCTGTAAAAGGGAAGGATTTGAGCTTTTAGAGCACTGGGCTGACTTTTCATTGGGGTACAACCTACAGCATATGCTAAAGGTGGGTTGCACCTAAATGGAAGGGGGTCTGTTGTCCTGGGGTAGAAATTTATGGAAAGGCTGGAGGAGTATTTAAACTAGGATTGAGGGGAAGGGTGAATTAATGGGGCAGACCGGTCAGACACTAAGCCTGGGTTCACACTGATGCGGTGCGGAATTCGCAACGTTTTCTGCGTGAATTCCGCACCACATCACAAACGCACCTCGTTCATGAGAACCGCTGCAGGTGTGTATGTTAAGTTAACAACACCCCAAAATCAGTCCGCAAAAGATGGTGCAATGCGCAGAATCCCATCACATGGGTGTGAATATCCATGCGATCCGATTGTAGTGTGAACCAAAAAAAGGGTCCTGCACCTTGTTGGTGCGGGTGCGGTGCGATTTGAGCCATACATAATGTATGGCTACAATCGCACCGCACACAAATCACATGCAATATACCGCACCGCATATGTGTGAACCCAGCCTAATGGAAGATGGAATGGGGGGAGATGAGGGGTGGACTATGGCAGATGAAAGGAAGGTTCCATTGTTACAAACAACCATTGGAATTTATAGTACTAATTAAACTACAATAAATGTGCAAAACACAAGTGCAAAATGCGACAATGAATTAAAATGTTTGTTCACCAATGCCAGAAATCTGTCAAACAAAATAGGGGCGTTGGAAGCTTTGGTGTATGACAGGGGTCTTGAATTAAAATTTACAGAGGCCCGGTCAACAAAATGTCCTTCCAGCAGAGGTTCGAATCTCGTTAGCTATATAACACATCACAGTCCCTCGGTACATTATGATCCTTAGTGTACCTGTCACACTGTAGTCCCCTCTACAGAACATCACAGTCCCCTCTTTAAAGAAGTCCCACAGTGTCCTCTTTTTCCCCCTTACACCACTGCTCCCCTTTACATCACAGCGCCCCTTAACAAAACAGTGTCTCCTAACACAACACAGTGCCCCTTAACATAACACAGTGCCCCTTAACATAACACAGCACCCCTTAACATAACAGCACCCCTAACACAACACAGCACCTCTAACACAACACAGCACCCCTTAACACAACACAGCACCCCTTAACACAACACAGCACCCCTTAACACAACACACCTAACACACACACAGCGCCTCCTAAAACAACATAGCACCCCTAACACAACACAGCACCCCTAACACAACACAGCACCCCTTAACACAACACAGCACCCTAATACAACACAGCGCCTCCTAAAACAACATATCACCCCTAACACAACACAGTGCCTTGTAACACAACACAGCACCCCTAACACAACACAGTCTTCTAACACAACACAGCACCCCTAACACAATGCCCCTTAAATTAAATTAACACAGCACCCCTAACACAACACAGAGCCTCCTAAACACAACACCCCTAACACAATGCCCCTTAACATAACACAGCACCCCTAACACAACACAACGCTTCCTAACACAACACAGCACTTCCTAACACAACACAGCACCCCTAAAACACACAGCACCCCTTAACACAACACAGCACCCCCTAATATAACAGCGCCTCCTAAAACAACATAGCACCCCTAACACAACACAGCGCCTTATAACACAACACAGCACCCCTAACACAACACAGAGCCTCCTAACACAACACCCCTAACACAACGTCCCTTAAAATAACACAGCACCGCTAACACAACACAGCGCTTCCTAACACAACACAGTGCTCCTAAAACACACAGCACCCCTAACAACACAGCACCCTTAAACACAACACAGCATCCACTGCTGGAGACCGAACTGGATCGGCTTCAGAAAAGGTATGTATAGGGATTTCTTCTTTACAGGGCTAGATAGATTAATTTTAGAATGTGGCTGCCAGTAGGTTTAGAGTTAGTTAGGTTTTGGATGAACTTCTACATTAAGTTTAAGAGAGCAAATTTTCCAAGGCTGAGGGCTGCTCTCCAAGGCGTAGACTGGGAGGGAATATTGTCATCGAAGAACACAGAATAGAATTGGGAATACTTCAAATTGACTGTATACGAACACATTGCAAAATACATTTCCATGGGCGATACGTTTAAGAGGCTAAAAATAAAACCTAAATGGCTTACTGCCAAAAAAACTATAATTAATAAGAAAAGAGCATTTTAAAACATATAAAAATTAAAGAAGACTATCATCATTCAGATTGACAAAGAATAAAACACAGAATGTAAAGAGGAAAAAAACTGAAAATAAACCACAGGCTACAAAAGAGAGTAGGACAATCCTATCACATACCTGGTGAAGACTGAAACATTGTGGAGGCCTCTCTTA